GTTTCTTAATGGCCCTATTTTTCTTTTTTTAAATTATGACTTTCTTTATAGTTGTAGGTAGGGTTTGCAAGGCAAAAGATATAATACAGGACATATAATTTATATAATTACTTTATAATATTCACCTGAAAAATCTAATGTAAAAGAGCACGGGAGACTTATCCACACACTAGAGATCCAAAGAATCCACCTGAGGGCCTGGATCCCACGACAATGTCCAGCTGAAGACCTAGAGTCTAGGATAATGTTCTCCGCAAGTCCAACTGGTGGCCTAGAGCCAAACTGGAGGCCTAGAGTCTATGACAAAACGTCACAAGTGGAAGCTAGAAAACTTGCACCATCAGGATGCAGGATCTGTGCGAGCAGGCTGAAGGATCTGCACTGGAGCCAGGAAGTGACTCTCAAGGTAAGGACCAGAGCTCTCCTGAAAAGAGCTGCAGCCATCCTCAGTGACAACAAGGTCCTGAGTTCCTCTGACAGTGAGGAGAATGGTGTTTGTATCAGGAAAACAAGTGTGACACGCTTCTCCAGGAGGATCAACAGCATCACCTTTCTCCAGTTCTCTCTCTATGCTGTTGGCCCTCCCTACCCAGCACACCACAGTGATTCAGTTCAGCTGGCCATTCCAAGTTAATACAGTTGTCAGTCCACCACAATAGTTCACTTATTTACACTAAGTGCCATGTTCTGACACCCTGGAATAACCCCTCCTCAACCCCTGCCCCTGGGTCCCTATGTAGGTGGGCCAGACTCTATTGATGTCCAGGCCCATAGATTGGGGTACTCTGCCCCACCAGAGGGCATCCTCCAAAGTAGCTCTAGTACAACTGCAGCAGGTGAGGAGAGCAGGAACCCAAGTGCCCCTGGGCCTCCGAGCTCAGTGGGAAACAACTCCTCAGCCCGTATGTCCCTCCTTTCCTGCCTCTGACCTCCTACTTCGACTACTGCTCTAACTCCCTCTCAGTTTGTCTCTAGGTCAGCTTCCATAGAACCCAAGCAATTCAATGTATTCATTTCAGATTCTAATTTTCAATTTTAGGGATTACCTAAAAATATTCATTTTGCAAATATGCAAAACATTTGTGTAAAGTTTTACATCTCACTTATGTTCTGTCTCATCCCCACCCATGGCCTGCATTGCCTGGACCTCCACTTCAGCTTCCTGGTACCTTCAGAGAAAAGAAGACAAAAATGCATTTGTACTGTATCAAGGTCATCCTCATGCCTCCCCTCAGCTCTGCAACACCCCACTGCTTGTAAGAATACACTTTATCTCCTAGTGATGGGCATTTTGTTTCCAGTATTTAAAATGCCATTACGAATAACTACAGTCATTTCATTTCTTCACTTGGATTCTTAGAGCTGCTGAGTCAAAGGAAAATGCATGTAGTTTTGTTACATGTCTCAAATCGTCTTCCATAAAGGCTGCAATTCTCACTAAACACTTAAAAGAGCTTCATATCCTGCATCTTTACAGGATGTGTATGGCAACAAACTGGTGGCTGTTCACATAGATGGGAAATTTTACGATAGCCTTTTAATTATCTTGCAAGGATTTTAACTGCTTCCTTAAGGTATAATTAGCAGGATAATGACCATATCCACTACTCCAAGTGTCCTCCTGCTCCAGAACCTGCCCTCAGCCAAGTACGCAGGGAACCACTGCCCTGCTTTCCTTTACTACATGTTCGATAAGGGCTGTGGTCACACAGCATGTGTTCTCTGGCTTTTCTTCCTGGGCATAATGATTTTGACACTCATTTACTCTGCTTTGTAACCAAGCATGTCATTCCTTGGAATGCAGGAAACCACTTTGTGGACACAATACTGTATCCCTTCCCAGGTATGATGGGTTGCTCTTGGTGCTTAATGCAACTGATTAGAAACTCCCATGTGGTTTTCAAGTGGCTAGATTTCCACTCTGTTTTTATGTTGTTTCTGCTTGGGAATCTAAGGCACTAACTACATTTATCAGATCCAAACTTTTCTGCTTGATTGTTAAGTGCCCAATCACTCAATTTCATTTTGCATTACATCCTAGCACTCCCCAAAGTCTATCCCAGAGTAAATAACTTTTTTTTTTTTTTTTTGTGGCACCAGGGATCAAACTCAAGACTGAGCTTGCCAGGCAGGCATTTATGCCACTGAGCTATCTCCCTGGCCCAATAATTTAACTCTTTTTTAAAGAGTGACCATAGGGCCAGCGAGATAGCTCACTGGCATAAGCACCTGCCTGGCAAGTGCAAGGCCCTGAGTTTGATCCCTATACCAAAAAAAGAAAAAAAAAAAAAAAGTTGTCACTGAACATAAAAAATTTCAGAAGAGGGGACAAGGGCAATAGCTCAGTAGGATAAGCGCTTGCCTGGCAAGCACAAGGACCTGAGTTCAATCCCCGGTCCTGCTTAAAAAAAAAAAAAAAAAAAATCAGAAGAAAAAAAAATTTCAGAAGATATACTGTGATGGCAGAGAGGTCTTATGTTCAATATCCCATAGTGACCATGTCTTCATGTGCAAAATTAATGCAATACTGCCCGGCCTGCCTTATGAAAAGTATTTGTTACTACAAAAAAACCCAAAAAAAACCACAGAACACTTCAAGTAAGAAATTTATATTATTTTCTAGTGGCTAATTTTATAAAGAATACGTTCATTGTTTAATTTGAGTCTTTTTTCAGACAGGTTCTTGCTATATAATTCAGGCTTGCCTTAAACCCACAGCAAATGGAGATGTAACAGGCACAAACCACCATGACTGCTTGAGTTGGACATTTTACAAAAAGCCAGACCAAATTGGGTGTGGTAGGGCACTCCTAGAATTCCAGCACTTGAGAAGCTGAGGCCAGACAGGACTGAAAGGCAGCCAGCCTGGGCTGCAAGAGTTCAAGGTCAGCCTGTATTACAGAGACCAGTTCAAAAAAAAAAACCTAAGGGATTAAAAAAACAGCAGACTAAAGCGCAGGCACAGTGGCCAGGGTTCGATCCAGGCATGACATGGCCTGCCTAGCACTGAGATGGCGATTGAGACTGGGCGTGGTGGCACAGGTACCTGTAATCCCAGCACTTGGGAGGCTGAGAACAGGAGAATCGCTACAAGTCCGAGTCTGATCTACGTAGTGAGACCCTGAACACCCTGTAGACCCTTCCCTAAATACAGGGGAAAAAATGCTGTTTACTCCCATTAGTTCCATAGAAGTACCTACCAAACTATTTGGCAAGAACACGGACTTTAGTTTTCATTTGCTCAAACTGTTAATGTAAACAAAACAAAAAAAACAACAAAATTTCTGAATTTTGAGATAATAGAATACGAATATACTTAATCTGCTATTTCAGGCCAACATGGATTTTTTTTTATTTGCAGAACCAGGGATTGAACTCAGGCCCTTGCACTTGCCAGGGAAGCGCTTATTCTGAGCCATCTCTCTGGCCCCTCCAAGATGGATTTAGAAGTAAAGGTCATGGTTTAGAACCAAAACATCCCTCACAAAGCCTCAAGTATTTGGAGGTGGACCCAATCAGAAGAGGCAGGTGTCTGGGGTGTATGACCTAGGTGCACCTGTGTCCCTGGTTGCTCCCTTCTCTGCTTCTTGGTGGCCATGAAGTAACTTACCTCCACCATACTACTGCTGCCTTGGGGCCAGCCAATCATCAACAGAACCCTCTGGAAACTGAACGAAATAAACCTGTCAACTTGCAGATGTCATATATTTTGTCCCAATGACAGGAATGTGACTGGTAATACAGAAATGTGGTTTCCAGAAGTGGGTTTGCCAATACGGCAGTCGGGTACAACTGTGTCCGACCCTATGGTTCAAAAATTTTGGAATGGATTTGCATGAAGAATTTTGTTAGTTTTGGAGACACTTGCTGGAGCAGCTTGATGGGCGAGTCTGGCTGGAGCTGTAGAGCAGAATGCTGGCTGACAGCAAGGCAGGCCCTAAGAGTCAGGCTCATGAGGTTTCAGTTGGGATTAAAGATTACGAATTGGATTTAACGTTAATGGAACAGCATTATATTCTTTTTTTTTTTTTTGGCAGAACTGGTGATGGAACTCAGGCCCTTGCGCTATCAAGCGCTTGTTCTACTGAGCTATCTCCCCGGCCCATGTATTATATTCTAACA